CTTCTATACTTTTTAGCACGTAGCTATTTATTATTAGCATTGTTCTTCCGACGTCTGATTTCTTTATAATTATAGGAAATGCGTTTTCCTAAGATACATAAACTTTTAGGATTGACTGTATAGCCAATACGTCCTTAAGCTATGTAATGATTTTCTCGTTGCCAATTACCAATGAGAAGAGCGATTACTGATTGTGTTTTAAGCCCCATTGGGCCCCATTCGCTGTCCCAACGATCACATGGGCGCTGTTACCCTTTAATACTATCTCTTCAGTACTCAAGCCAAGACTGTTAGTCCCTCTTGATAAAATGAAGAAGATAGAGGCTTGCAGATAAGAGGCGACGGATGAATCTTGTATGTATTGCTTTATAACGTGCCAAAGTACACGCTCTATAATACCTAGACCTTTTGGAGTAAAACGGAGCGGCCGTAAATTTGGCACAAAAGCCTGGCAATTATGGTCGCATCGAATTGTGGGGGGCCTGGAAGGAATCAACGAAGTAATCTCGCGCCTTTGGCAACGCTCCAAGGCACAGTCGATTCAGACAATTCCTCTAATATAGTGTTGCAGTTTGCGTTGCCCGAAAGGAATTGGATGAATCGGAAGATCCTTACCTACGCGAATATTTTATTCCCTTTTGAACTCCCTCCGGGGTCAACCGGAATTCGTTCAGAAAGTTTAAAGCTTCGTGTGCTTATTCCAACTGCGATTATATCCAATGGTTCGGAACACGTCTGAAATATAGTTTAGCTAAAAATTTCAGAGTCGTTGATCACCTTACGGTCCTTAAAGGAGAAAGAACCTCAAAGTTGTTGAATTCTTCCTTGCCGGACAAACTTTAACTGTATGTGCCGTATGGTTTACCAGATACACTAAACGGAAATATTTCCTTAAAACGCAAAACAAGGAAGAAAATGGATATGACTTCCGCGACGTTGGTGCTAATGGAAGAATAATGTAACTTTCTCGGCATTCAATTAACAAACCGTTCATCACAATTTTATTATCGCGCCGATCTTGAGAACAGACGGAACTTTTTCTCCCGTGTCGCTGCAATTGAATGCTAGAAATGTAGATGTAAATGGCGGATAGACACGCGATACTCGCAGGCAAAATTGTTCCGTTATGTTTTTTGTTCGTACGGTCGTTTAGTTTCCTTCGTTTCACCTTGTGCCAGTTTGCCTGACTAAAAATCACGAAAACGGATACAGAAAAAAAGAATTTCCTTTACTCGTGAGTCATTGACGCACGCAAGATATTATTTTTAAGCAAAAACGTATACGCCGCTATAACACGAGTAATGACACGCTGTCTATAGGGTCAAAGTCTGATAGAATTGTTCGAAATGGTCCTAATTTAATAAACGAAGGGCGTGACTACGCGTCGGAGAGAATGAATTTGTCTCGGAATGATTCAGTGATGAATGTTGAGAACTATGACCGATCGAATTTGTCTCACAATACGGATTAACCGCGTCAGTGAAAGCTAGTACGCGTACGCGCTATCTTTCAAAGCCTAAAATCTACACAATCGACGTTAATGTTCGAAAGTTTAGCAAATCTTTGAAGACGCGCGAATTTCCGTTATATTTGCCAAATAATCGTTCAAGGAGAACGTGCACGGGTTTCCAACTACTGAAATGAAATACTTCTGGTACGGAAAATTGAAACAGTTGATAATTGAAAGTATATCAATACGAGAAGGTAGTGTCAGTGACTCCGTTTCACCTCGTGCCAATTTTAAAGAACGGAAGACATCCGGCCTCGCTCCGTTCAGGGTAGACTTCCTGCAGCGTGAGTCATCGGCGTGTCTTTGCATCATGACGGATCTCATTAAGTCAGCGTCAGTCATGCCGACCTCTGCCGTTAACCGCACGTCCCTCGGAACTGACCATCCAGATCCGTCGATATACATAGATCGGAACCGAGATCGTTCGACGATCCCACCCGGGATCTCGGACCGATTTCGTTTGTACGTTGCCGCGGAACACGTGTCTGGAGAAAGTCGTTCGAACGACGCGTTATTTTCGACTCGAACGGATAAATACAGTTTTATATATTCGTTCCTCTCTAATAGACAAATGGGTAATGCAAAATCTATGAAATGCTCGTCGTCGATTTTTGGCTCGGCTTTTAAAGGTCAAAGGAATGGTACGCAATTCCTCGCATCAGCTACGCATAAGTAATACCTTTCTTATCGAGGAAAGTGATTGCTCCGTCCCATTAAACGATTCTAATGGAATTTATTGAGTATCGTTACTCTCCGGTATTTCTGTTTCTCTTTTAGAAACGGCCGATATTATTGCTTTCATATTATTCGCTTTCTTTGATCTTTCCTTTTTCGTTCGGCGCGTGCAACAATCCAAACGAACGGACTCCGTGACTCCCGACCTCTGAGGCACGATGAACTTGCAATTAATTGCCGTACAATAACGGGACGATCAAGATCTCACGGGCTCTACATTCGAATATCGTGGGTGGATTGCTTCTGGTGTTCCATGGTACGGTGAAAAAGTAGGCCGCACGGTTCGTCTTCAACGGTCCGGACTACCGTGGCTTGGGAAAGGCGATGATGGATCTTTAATTTCTTTCTCGTCCGTTCCAAGTTACAAACTTTAATTATCGCCTCAAATTTCACCCACGGTTGCATCGAATGCAATTTTCTTGTATATAAAAATCGTCAAGTCACTACAATCTTGTAAATCATATCGAAACTTGGGATTCATATAAAACTCATAAAAATGAGATTGAAATGTTTTCTCAGAGGACACATAACGTTTAACATGCAAGCTGGCTCGGTGAGAGTTTATCACGTTCTTGAGGAATTTCGTTTTACAATTAGTCGAGAGGCGTTCTTGCTCAAGTGCATAACATTGGCCGTAAAAGAAAATCTGTTTAGTCTTCCTCGTGCGGTCGTGCACACACGTGTACGCGCACCGCGTTTACGGAAGATGAATAATAGCGCTTCGCGGAGGTACGGCGAGAAGTAGAATCGTGCCTAGAGAGAATCGTGCTCAACTATAATACTTTTTTTCGGCTTGTCGATAAATACGCGGGGCCGTTCGCGTACATAAATATTTGTCAGGATTTCAAGTCGGCGCGCTCCCTGCGCAGCCGTTCGCGGTTAAGAATCACCAGCT